CGCAGAGAGCGTTGTTGACTTCCTGGCTCTTTTCTCAACTTGTGAGCCCCTTTAGGATGCAGACATTTTTGCCCCTGTCCCTGTATATCTATAGCACAGTGCCAAACACTTAGCAGGTACTCAGTATAGCTTTGTTGAATGAGTGTCAGTTTGAATAGTTAAAACAAAGGTCTTAAATGGTGGTTCTTAATCTCACCCCTCAACATACTTGCCTTGTATAACCCATCACTGACAGTGTTTGAAATAGCCCTGGGGCGCCTGGGTGGCTCAGTCGATTAAGCATCCGACTTCAGCTCAGGTCACGATCTCGCAGTCCGTGAGTTCGAGCCCTGCGTCGGGCTCTGGGCTGATGGCTTGGAGCCTGGAGCCTGCTTCCGATTCTGTGTCTCCCTCTCTCTCTGCCCCTCCCCCGTTCATGCTCTGTCTCTCTCTGTCCCAAAAATAAATAAACGTTAAAAAAAAAAAATTTGAAATAGCCCCTGGTGATTTTGATATAAACTCACCCCGTTCTATTTGAAAATCATTGGCTAAAATATAAAAAAGCGGTTATTGGAGTAGAAGGAAAGGCAATATAAAATAAGAAGAAATACATTCCCTTCGTAATTTGTTATGAGAAGACTAGAAAGAAGTTGTCCTTGTTCTTTTGCAAAGCTAATCTAAAAGTAAATGATTATTTCAGTAGGTACACTCTGACCAAGTGTGACTTTTGATAGCAGCATGGCTTTGTTTTCTCTTTCCTTTTCTGTTAAATGAAATTAATACCAACTTCAATAGAACTGGCAAATTTGGGTAAAACTCTTTACTTTGAAAAAGGAAATAACTGATTCTCTACAGCCCATTGAGTAATATTTTTATTTAGTAATATTTACTCATAGTTTATTGAGTAAAGTTGGAGTTCCACGCTTGGCCTTCTGATTTGTTCAGGGAGCTAAATTATTTATTAAACATTTATTGAGAATCTGCTGGGTGCCAGGTACAGTGCTGGGCTCTGAAGATAGGAAGATACTAAGATTGAATTCCTCAGTCACTTTGCTGTAGTGAGGAACGCATGTAGACTCCCACAAAGTAGCTCTAGATGTGCAGATTGCTGTGACAGCAATTAGTAATCCGTATCCTTTTAACTTCCGAGGATCAGTAATGATTTCCCCTTTTATTCCTATTGTTACTAATTTGTGCCTTCACTTTTACTGACCAGTTTTGCTAGAGGTTTGTCCAATTTTATTAGTATTTCTGGAGAAGCAACTTTGATTTTGTAAGTTTTCTGTTATGCTTTTTTTTTTCCAATTTCTTATCATTTCTACTTTCTTTGAGTTTAATTTACTGTTCCTTTCCTTTTTCTTGTGGTAGATACATAGACCATTAGTTTTCATCTTTTTTTTTCTAATATATGCATTTCAGACTATAAATTTTCCTTTAAGCATGGCTTGAGCCACATCCTGCAAGTTTTGATATGTCATATTTTTATAATCATTAAGTTAAATATGTTTTTCAGTTTTCACTGTAGTTTCTTCTTTGACCCATGAGTTATTTAAGTGTAATTATTTTAGAGAACGATATTTTTGTTACTGATTTCTTATACTGTGCTCAAAGGCATATTGTTTGGTTTTGATATGTGTAGAGATTTGCTTTATAGCTCTTTATATGGTCAATTTGGGTAAGTATTCTATGTATATTTGAAAGTATATTCTACAGTCATTGGGTACAGTGATCTATGTACATGAATTGGATCAAGTTTTTTTACAAATGTTCTTAATCTTCAATGTCTGTTGATTCTTGTTGACTTGTTATATCAGTTATCATTTTAATCTTCCACTAAGATTATGGGTTTGTCTGTTTGTCATTTTAATTCTGTCAGCTTATGCTTAATGTATTTTGACACTTTTTACATGAAAATTTGAGGTTATGCTATATTCATGGTAGATCAACTCTTTTTTATTTCTTTTTTAATGTTTATTCATTTTTGGGAGACAGATAGTACAGGTGGGGGTGGGACAGAGAGAGAGGGAGACACAGAATCAGAAGCAGGCTCCAGGCTCTGAGCTGTCAGCACAGAGCCTGACGTGGGGCTTGAACTCACAAACTGTGATATCATGACCTGAGCTGAAGTTGGAGGCTTAACCACCTGAGCCACCCAGGTACCCCTAGATCAACTCTTTTAATGTTATGAAATATCCCTTTTTTAAATATCTGGTGATGCTTCTTATTTTTGAAGTCTGTTCTTTCTTATTGGATAGTTACAGCAGCTTTTTTGGTTAAAATATGCATAGTATATCTTTTTCCATCCTTTTTCTTTCAACCTTTCTCTGTCCTTTATATTTAATGTGTGCCTCTTGTAAGTACATAGTAGAGTTAGGTATGATCCCCATCCATCCCTACCCATCTTTTACTTGCATATTTAGTCTGTTGATATTTAAATAATTAATGATACTTTTGGAATTAGATCTAAACCTATTGTTTTCTGTTTGTCCCACATATTTGCTCTGTTTTTTTCTCTTAAATTCTTTGCACTAATATTTTTTTTAAAATCCGTATTTTTTAACTTCTCTGGATGAATCATATTTTTAAAAAGAATTCTATATTGTATAAGTTCTCTATTACCTTTTTATAGTTTTTTAAATTATCCTATCATTAGTTTTTTAAATTATTATTATGACAAGACTTATCAATAATAATTCAGTGCTTTATCACAGCCTGGGTAATACAGGGACCATAGAACACTAACTTCATTTACTCCTTTCTATTTTGTTTTGTTTTTTCCATGCATTTTAATTCTATTTTTTAAATACCACAAGAGATTCCTATTATTGTTTTGTAAAGTTAGTACTCATTTAGACTTACCTTTATTTATCCTTCTGGAGCTCTTCATTCTTTCCTCCATTCCTTGCTTCTTTCTGGGATCTTTTTCCTTCTGTTTCACAAATTCCTGTCAGAAGTCAGTTCTCTCAGATTTTGTATGTTGTAAAACACATTTATTTTACAATCACTATTGCATGATTTTTCCACTAAGTATAGAATTCTAAGTTACTAGTTGTTTGTTTACATTTGCACGCTAATGATTGCCTTCTTGTTTCCATTGTTTCTGTTGGAATGTCAGCTGTCAGCCTTATTGTACTTACTGTAGAATAATAAGGTGTCTTTTTAAAGTTTTTTTGTTACAGGTTTTCAGCAATTTTACTGTGATATGATCCATCAAAACTTGTGGATTTCTTTATATTTATCCTTGTTGGGATTTGTAGGGCTTCATGGATCTGTGTCTAGATGTCTGTTGTCAGTTTTGGAAAATCCTTGGCCAGTATCTACAAATATTGCCTCTGCAACAGTTTTCTCTCCTCTATTCCCACCAATTAAGATGATTAAAAAAAAAAAAAAAAAAGATGAATTCAGGCCATGTTTCAGTATAAAAACTGGTCCATTTCATTTTTTGCCCTTACACTAGAGCATGCCCCTTTGGGGTCTCCCCCTATGAGGCCACTGAAATCTCTGCTTCATTCTTGAGCCCCCTTCAGCTTCAGGCTACCAGGCCTCTTGCTACTTACAGTGCAGGCATTGGTAAGGGCCCTGAGAAGAGGAGCAGAAGAGAATGTTCTGCTCACTTCATTGCTTTTCTGTTCTAAGCATCTTGGCCCTCTAGTCCTGAGGACCTTGGTTGCTCTTTGATGTATTTAAAATTAAAGTGGGGCGTTTTTGTTTGTTTATATTTTATTAGCTTTTAGAGTGATTCTTGGGGGGAGGTTGGTGTGATACATGCTCTACTATATCTTAGCTGGAATTTGTGCAAAGTTTCCCTCTTTAAGCTTTCTCACCTTTTCTGTTTTTGTCTGGTGAGGAGTAACTGGAAGGCTTGATTGAGACAGCTGGACTAAAGAATTTGGTACAGTATGTGTTCATGTGCTCCATTCCTTTCCTATCAATAAAAACCAAATTTCCTACTTTACTTGCCCTATGGCCCATAGGCACAGGCTTGTTTACTGAATAAATACCCTAAAATCTTATAATGTTTACATAGTAGAAATAGAACTACTTTTTCTTTTAGCATAAAGATACTTGAAGAATAAACCAAAAACAGATGTTAAGACCACTGTATGTTTTTCTGTCACTTTCAGTTTTTGTTGCTTGAGGTCTGTTTTGAAATACATGTTTAGAGCTTCTCAATGAATCTGAATGTAAAGCATTACAATATTGTTGATAACTTGGACTTTTTTGCACGAAGGTGTCTACTGCTTCTATCTCAGAACAGTAACTTACTACTTTTTAAACTGTGTCTCTGTAAAATGGCAACGACCGTATTACCTCACTGTGAAGACTGTTTAAAAAAACTAAGTGTTAGTCTGCTTGGGCCGCTGCAACAGAATACCTCAGACTGGGTGGCTTAAACAGTAGAAATTTATTCTCACAGTTCTGGAGGCTGGGAATACCAAGATCAAGGGTCCAGTCAGTTTGATTTCTGGTGAGAGCTCTGCCACAGGCTTGTAGACGGCTGTCTTCTCTCTGAGTCTTCACATAGCCTCTCCTCAGTGTGTGTGCAAAGTGGGGGAGCCCTTCCTCTTGTAGAGCCACCAGTCTTACCAGATCATAGCCCCTGTCTTATGACCTCATTTAACCTTAGTTACTTCCTTAGAGGCTCCATCTCCAAATACAGTTGCAGTGGGGGTTATGGCTTCAACATGAATTTTAGGGAGGACATGATTCAGTCCATAACATATTGTAATACATAAAAGTACTTAAAATAGTACCTGGCCTATAGTAATTGTGCAGTGAATTGTGGTTTTGTAGTAGCAAGTATTTTAAACATTTTTTTCCCCTTTTTTCTTTTCTAGGTGCTGACTTTGGATTACTTTTTAAAGCACTAGGCATGGTAATTTCTACTTTTTGGGACCTCAAAACCAAGAAGCTACAGAGAATCCTATGTCAATAAAGTGAAATCTCTTCTGTTGTGCTTTTTCATTTGGAGACTCCTGTATTTCCCCATACACAAGGAGTGTAGAACTAGTGTGGTCATTATGAACGTGACAAGTTTATTTTCCTTCACAAGTCCAGCTGTGAAGAGACTTCTTGGGTGGAAACAGGGTGATGAAGAAGAAAAATGGGCAGAGAAAGCTGTTGATGCTTTGGTGAAAAAACTGAAGAAAAAGAAAGGTGCCATGGAGGAACTGGAAAAGGCCTTGAGCTGCCCAGGGCAGCCAAGTAACTGTGTCACCATCCCCCGCTCTCTGGACGGCAGGCTGCAAGTTTCCCACCGGAAGGGACTGCCTCATGTCATTTACTGCCGAGTGTGGCGTTGGCCTGATCTTCAGAGCCACCATGAACTAAAACCACTGGAATGCTGTGAGTTTCCTTTTGGTTCCAAGCAGAAGGAAGTGTGCATCAATCCCTACCACTATAAGCGAGTAGAAAGTCCTGGTAAGTGAGTCCTTTTATATTGATGTATTTAGCAGATTCGTGTTGTTTAAAATACGAAGATAATCCCTTTCCATGTTTTTAGTTGTGATTTTTATTACTTTTTTTACAAAAGTTTATGTATTTATTTTGAGAGGGAGAGAGCGCATGTGGGAGGGGCAGAGAGAGAATCCCAAGCAGGCTCCGCGCTGCCAGCGCAGAGCCCGATACAGGGCTCGAATGAACCGTGAGATCATGACCCGAGCTGAAACCAAGAGTGGGATGCTTAACTGACTGAGCCCCCCAGGCGCCCCTAGTTGTGATTTTTAAATATTAGGGGAAAATGTGCCAGCCCTTGAAGATTTTGTACTTTCTAACGACTTAGTCCTCTCTAGTTAATTTTGTGTCTTAGGAGCGAGGCAAAATTGTCATAGCAGTACTGACAACTCTAATTATGAATGAATGAATGGTTTTCTTTCTAAATTTATTTTTTATGTTTCTCATTGGTCCTCTGAATTTCTCTAGATAAACTTAGCTGTGATTTTATTACAGAGGAATAAAATTCAGAAAGAGAAGAAACATGGGGTTGCCGTCTGTGTACTTGAGGGAAATACATCTTTAGTGCAATTGCTAATGACTTGTACCACTTTATTTTTAAAGATAGCATCTTTTGGGGGACCTGGGTGGCTCAGTCGGTTGGGCGTCCGACTTCATCTCAGGTCATGATCTTGCAGTTCGTGGGTTTGAGCCCCACATCGGGCTCTGTGCTGACAGCTCAGAGCCTGGAGCCTGCTTCGGATTCTGTGTCTCCCTCTCTCTCTGACCCTCCCCTGTTCATGCTCTGTCTCTCTCTGTCTCAAAAATAAATAAACGTTAAAAAAAAAAAATTAAAAAAAAGATAGCATCTTTTATCATCTCTGGTGGAATTTTGCTCCCTGTGGAGGATATGAGGGAATTCTATCTGCTGTGGAATCATTAGATGCTATTACTTTAGAGGATATTCCTAGTTTTTACGTGTATGACCTTTTTTGAGGGTATAATATGCGTTAAAATTTGTATGGTTTTGCCCTCAAATTAGAATCCCATTCTAGACAGTTTGCATCAATTGGAAAGTAATTAGGCAGTCTTAAGCACTTAAATATCTCATTGTCAGATTGGAACCCGTTTTGTTGATGGATTAGTTATTAATGATTTGTGGTTACCAAGGGTTCCTGAATGAAGCTGTGCATTAGAATCACATGGCTCCCCTCCCAGACATTCTGATTCTGGCACAGCCTTGTAATCCATGTTTTTAACAAATATTTCAGATGGTGTCGAGTAGCTATTGGACTGGTGTTGGAAACTACTATGCTAGATCATGTAGTAACATTCTCAAATAAAAGGCATTCTGTTTTTGTGGGTTTTTAAAAAAAAGTTTTTGGTTTTTCATGGAATATTTAAGACCTACAAAAAGAGTTTAAAGACTAGGGAATAGTATAATAATAAACACCTCTGTATCCACTTAGCCTAAGAAATAAAAGATTACAAATAAAACCCAAACTCTAGGTTTGGCCTCTCTGATTCAGTTTTTTTCCCTTCAGTAACTATTCTGAATTTTTTGCTTAAAATTTGATGTCATCATTCCCATGTGTATTTTTATACTGTTATTATGTATGTCTGAATCCATGACAACACATAATATTATTTTATATGTTTAGAAGAGTTACCGATATTGGAACATCCTTCCACAACTTGTTATGTTCATTCAACATTATATTTTTGTGGTTTCTGTGTTATATTCTTTTGGATTACCTTGTCAAGTTCTGTGAAAAATCCTCTGGAAATTTTTTTGGAATTCCATTGGTTTCATTTGCAAAGGATTGACTTAATTTTGCATTTTCTACATTTATTTAGGTCTTTTTCTTTAAGTTTCCTCCATATAATTCTTGTACATCTTTCTTTAGATTTATGTCTAGATAACTAGTTGGTTTTTATTGTATCCATTTAAAAGTTACATTTTGTTAGACTTGATCTTTGCTAAGACTGCATTTGCTTTTTTCCACCAACTTTGCTGAATTCTTATTCTAAATTTTTTTTTTTAACATTTATTTATTATTGAGAGACAGAGACAGATGGTTAGCATGGGAAGGGCAGAGAGAGAGGGAGACACAGAATCTGAAGCAGGCTCCAGGCTCTGAGCTGTCAGCACAGAGCTCAACGCGGGGCTCGAACCCACAAACTGAAAGATCGTGACCTGAGACGAAGTCAGATGCTCAACCAACTGAGCCACCCAGGCGCCCCTGCTGAATTCTTATTCTAATGCAGATATTCTTTAGTAACTATTATATGTGCTGTGAGGTAAATTAAAAAGCAGAAAGTCAACACAGAGATACATGGGCTTTTAGCCAGAAATTGAGATGGAGTTAAGAGTTTTGGAGAAGAAATAAACAGTGTATACAAGTAATATGTACAAACAAGATTATTTAGGTGTGGGATTTTTTTTGATTCACCAGAGTAACTTTAAGGAGGTATACAGGGAAGATTCTAATCCTACTTCATTAATGATGAAACTGAGGTCCCTATAAATTTAAGTAACCTATGTGTCAGACAATTAAGGTTCACTGTGTCTTCTCCATCCACATTCCTGCCACTCTTCTCCACCCTTTCAGCAATTCATCTTGTGCCTCCTGACCCGTCACTCGCTTCAGGCCAATATCTGCACTACAGAGAGAGTTCTTTAAGATGAATGTTATGATCCTGTGATCTTCCTGTTTCCCATTGCTAGTACACAGAGCTCTGCACGTTCTGGTCCTGCCTGCCTGCTATTCTAGCTTCTTTGCCCGTTCTTCCATATTTTGTGTGTTTGAGTCATATGGGAACGCTCTGTTCTTTTCCTCTGTCTGTAACTTGTTTCTCCTCCCTCTTTGTCTAGCTCACTCTTATTTATCCTTCAGTTCTAAGCTTAATGGGTTTCAGCTTTGCTGAGAAGTCTCTCTTGATTCCTCTTTTGCTACCCTCCTGATAGGGTAGTCTCTGTTTCCTGTAGCAATCTGAATTTCTTCATAATGTTCCTCACACTTAGACTTGTCTTTTTGTTAGTCTTCCTGGCAAGATAGCAAATAAATAAAACTGTGAGGGTAGGGCCCATATGTATTATTAGCATTTCTACTTTAAGCAGCTAGCACAGTTCAATAAATTTTTTTGGTTGTAATATCTTTGTATGGTCATTTGTCCATTTTTTGGAAATGAGTTTTCAGCTTGCCTATGCCCTCTGAACATCATCTTCCCTTGTTCGTTTATTTCACTACTTACAATGAAATAACACTATTACTAACACCTCTGACACGACGAAAAGTTTTTCTTTAGGTTCATGCGAAAAGTTTTTCTTTAGGTTAAAAATTAATACTGAGATGATTTTGTTGCTCTTAGTAACTTACTTATAGAAGGTTTGTTGGGCAGGGGTGGGATGGGTGGAAAACCAGCTAAAATAAGGCATTTGAGACTACAGGTGACATTTTGTC